AATAAAATCTTGAAAGAGAGAAAGAGAGAGAGAGAGAGAGGGACAGAAGCTCTCAAATCACACTGTGACAACCAAAAGATCTCTCTCTCTCAAGCAGCCAGAAGGAATACAGGGGGCAAACCCTAATTTTGGTAGAATTCCAAGGTAGAATGGATTCTCAACAGTGCCCATCCCTATTTTAAAGTCATGGAGCAAGAACAGAAGGCGTGGGACTCTGATCATCATACTTAGGGCATGGTAGTGGACATGCCTGAAATCCCCTCTTTCCGTCCACACTCCAGGCCAGGTGAGTAGTCCATGTCTCTTTGCTCGAGTCACGCATTCCTCCAGTCTATACCTAACATTCCTGAGGATTATATAGAAAAAGTAACAGTTACATATATATCATGCGTCTTGGCAGCAGGAACATAGGTGCTATAACATCACAGCCAGCATGCCAGAATTCCAATGAGAGGCCTGTGTTTTGTGAGCCAGAGGGCTTGCGGTGGATACATGAGGTAGACAGAAATAAAGGTGACTTGCCACTGTGATCTGTTTTAAAGTTTTCCCTTCTATCCTTGCATCACCACTAAAGTGGAAAGATCACATCCTTAGGAAATGAGACATAGACATCCGTATCTACCTTATTGTTTTGAGGCCTCAGTGTAGTCAGGTCCAGGAGAGACCAGAATTAATATTTCTATTTTGTTTTGTTTTCAAAATCTTGTTTTACCAAAAAGGTAGAAAGTCTACATGTTATAATACGATAATAGTATATTAGAGGACAGCTGAAGGAAGGAGATGAGGCTGCCTTTTACATTCACAGCAATTTTGCTGAAACCAACTTTAAATGAAGTACAATGAAATATAGGGGGAAAGTTACAATGGTCCAAATAAATCTTTTGAAACAAATGATCATCCAAATCAAAGACTCAGATTTCTTCTCAATAGAGGTTGATTGCATTCTAGTACTGAAATTATTGGCACAGCTAGAATAGCTGTAAGAACAGTGTGTGAGTTCTGGTTATAACAAATCAAAACAGCTCTTTGATTTTGCAGGAGTCATTCATGGTGTTTGGCACCCAATTTCCCTAACTATAAGTTATTATGGTAAAACGTTTTATATAGTTGTAATTCAAAATGAAGAAAAGAGTAGCCATAACATTGTTTTAAAAGTATATTTAGAAATCACTTGTAGGCTTTTCATGGTATGTACCATAAGTTCAAGGCCACCCAAAACCCCTGTAAGGTGTAGTTCTGCCCCATTATTACTTCCTCTAAGCCTCACCAGGCCTATGTATTAGTCAGTGGTCACTATTCAACAGATGTGAATGCATATTATACTATTTCTTCCTTTAGCTCTCCTCTATTTTATTTTATTTTATTTTTCTCCCTCTGTTTGTAATAACTTTATCCTATACTCTTGTGAATTTTAGAAATCTCTTTTTAAAAGTTTGGCATCAAATGTGAACTCCTTCATGAAGCCTTCCCTATTGAAGCAAGGGGAAATAATGTTCCCTTATTCAGTGCTTAGTAACCACTATTAATCTTTTTTAAAATAGAACTTCTCAGATCATCCTGTAGTATTTATATCTTATTTTCTCAGGAAAAAGAAATTTCCTTTAGAGACAATATCATGTCCTGGGCATGTGATATCCACCCTGATATCATCTCCATCGTTCTCTAACACCTAATAACCAAAGGAAACGGTCATAGGATTTCACTGCTGTGATCTCCAGCAATAAAAGGAAAGTTCACAAAGGTTGACATGATTTTATCTAGCACATTCATGGCTTAAATTCCAGGACTGAAGAGTCTAACTCAAACTTTTATTTGGATTTGAATCCATTGGACCAACTGTTAACTGCTTGCATGTGATGCACCATTGGAAGGCTCATCACTAGCCGTATGAGTATTTCCAGTCCAGAGCTATGTTCATCTTTTGGCTATCTTGACAAAGTTACAACTTCTGGTATATTAGTGTGACCTGCATTCAACCTGAAATATCAGGAGAAAGACCAGCAATTTATGCTAAAAATTTGTAGGTAAGGAAAATCTAGTTTCATTAAAGACAAAAATGAATTTTAGGACATTAATACTCCAAGGAAAAAAGCTTTTTAAGCTATAGAAGTCATATATAATTACATGTTTTTTATAATTGTTCTTATCCCTTAAAATTTATAATGAAAACTTAAAACAGGAACACATTAAAAGTATCAAAGACATTTAATATATATAATGACTTTGAAAATAATTGGAAAATTATATATTACTTTGTAATACTTGTTAGATAGCTGTTTAAGAGCTATTATAATGTAAAATCCTTTTGTAGGAAAGGAATATATTTTATTATTTCTTCTTAATGTTAAAAATAAAAATGATTTGATCTTGTTACTTATTATTGGTCTGATTAGGTATTCTTTTTCTTCATGACTCAACCTTGGAAACACATATGTATCTAGAAATGTGTTTATTTCTCTTAGGCTACTTATCCAATCAAAGAAAATCCTAGGACTAAATGGCTGCACTGTGGAATTCTAATAATAATTTAAAATAGAATTAACACCAGTCCTTCTTAAACTATTTCAAAAAACAGAAGAGTACAGAATCCTTCCAAATTTATTCTATGAAGTTGCTAACAAAATCAGACAAAGACAAAATCAGACACAACAATAAAAAAAAGGAAAAGCCACAAGCTAATTGTTTCAATGAACATAGATACAAAATTCCTTAACAAAAATACTTACAAACCAAATCCAACAGCACATTAAAAAGATTATTCACTATGATGAACTGAGATCCTTAGAGGAATGCAATGATGCTTCAATATATATAAATCAATAAGCATGATGACCCACATTAACAGAATCAAAGACAACAATCATATGTGATTCTACTGAATGGTAAAAAGCATAAGTCTTTTTTTTTTTTTTTATTTGACAGGTAGAGTTATAGACAGTGAGAGAGAGACAGAGAGAAAGATCTTCCTTCCATTGGTTCACTCCCTAAATGGCCACTAGCGCCAGCGCTGCGCTGATCTGAAGCCAGGAGCCAGGTGCTTCTTCCTGGTCTCCCATGAGGGTGCAGGGGCCCAAATGCCTGGGCCAACCTCCACTGCCCTCCCGGGCCACAACAGAGAGCTGGACTGGAAGAGGAACAATCAGGAATAGAACCCGGCGCCCATATGGGATGCCGGCACCACAGGCAGAGGATTAACCAAGTGAACCACGGTGCCGGTCCCAAAGACTAAGTCTTTTTATTTGAACTCTGGAACATGACAAGGATCTCCATTTTCACCACTTTTATTCAATATTGTACTGGAAATCCAGCTAGAGCCATTAACCAATAAAAGGAAATAAAAGGGATGCAAACCAGAAAGGAGAAAGTCAAATCATCAGTATTTGAGGATGGCATAATCTTACACCCAGGAAACCCAAAGACTCCACCAAAAAGTTGTTAGGATTAACAACAAATTCAGGAAAGTTGCAGGATACAAAGTCAATGTCCAAAAATTGGTAGTATTTTATATACCAATAGTGAATTATTTGAAAAACAAATTGAGAGAACACTTCTCTTTCCAGGCTCTGCAAAAATAAAAAGATAAACTAAAGTACATAGGCATAAACAACATAAGTGAAATATTTCTACAATGAAAACTATGAATCATTGATGAAATAAATCAGAAGACAAAAGAAATTGGAAGACACCTCACGTTGATGGATTGGAAGAATCAATATCATTAAGATGTCTGTTAAAGATTCAGTGCAATACCTATCAAGATACCAGTGACATTTTTCACTGCGGTAGAAAAATCAGTACTAAAATTTGAATGGAACCACAAAAGAATCCAAATAGCTGAAGCAATCTTGAATAAAAGAAATAAAACAGGAGAGATTATAAGACTGACTTCAAAATATATTGCAGAATGAAAAATAACTAAAATAGCATGATAATGGCATAAAAACCCATACATGGACCAAAAATGAGAATAGGAGTCTGGAAGTAACTCCTTTGCATCTATGACCAATTGTTTATTGACAAAAATGTTAAGAGTATGCATTACAAAAAGGAGAGTGTTTTCAGTAAATGGCACTGGGAAATTTTTATTTGCCAGCAGAGAAATGAAGCTGGACTCCTTTATCTCCTACCATGTATAAAAATCAACTCAAGATAAACTAAAGACCTGAATAGAAGACCCAAAACCTTGAAATCAAAGGGGAAAACACTTCAGGACATTGGCATGGGCAAGGATTTTATAGATCAGACCCCCAACCACAGAAAATAAAGGGAAAAATAGACAAATAATATTTTATCAAATTTGTGGAGTTTCTGCACAGCAATGGAAACAATGAGCAGAATGAAAAGACACAGAAAGAGAGCAAATATTTTCAAGCTATATATTTGACAAGAGGTTAATAACCAGAAATATAAGAAACTCAAGCAATTCATTATGAAAAACTTCAACTATTAGGTATTATTCATGAAACAAAGGAAAATTTTTTTGAAATAGAGGGACATAGAAAGAAATAGAGGGAAATAATGTCCCCTTATTTAGTACTTAGTAACCACTATTAATCTTATTTTAAAATAGAACTCTTTAGATATCCTGTAGTGTTTATATCATACCTTCTCAGGAAAAAGAAATTTCCTTTAGAGACACTATCATGTCCTGGGCTGCTTATGTAGATATATTCTCTGCAGATTTATTAAGGATATTGCTATCTTTTTGAATGTTTGCAATATATCCAAACATTTATTTTATTACACAGCATTATTTTAAACATATGTAATAGAAGTTAATGATACATATAATCATATAATTAAAATTTTATTCATTTAAATATTTTGGCATTTTCACCACATTTAATTTTTTCTTACATGAAAATTAGAAGTAAGTAAGTATATAGGCATCATCTGTTAGAGTTTTCTATAGTCTCATAAAAATATATGTTATAAATTAAAAATAAATGTTACATTTACTTTAAAGAACATTTTAGAAGTTGTTTTGTTTTGTATTTTAGAAATCATTGGTCACAAGCTGGTGTTGTGGCACGGAGGATTAAGCTACTGCCTGTCACACCGGCCTTCAATCTCAGAGTGCTGGTTTGAGTCCCAGTTGGCTGCTCTTCTTCTGACCCAGCTCCTTATTACTGCACCTGGGAAAGCAGTGGATGACAGGCCCTGCTGTGCCCCTGCTATCCACACGGGAGACCTTGATGGAGTTCTGGGCTCCTGGCTTTGGCCTGGATTATCCCCTGATATTGTGGCCATTTGGGGAGTAAACTGGTGGATGCAAGATCTCTCTTTCTGTCTCTTCCTCTCTCTCTCAGTCTGCCTTTCAAATAAATAAGTAAACAAATTTTAAAAAATCATTGGTCCCCAAAATGTACAAAAATCTCTTCTAGATGTTATGATTCCAACTAATAAAAACTTCACTTATAATTTCAAAAATGGGATAGAAATTTACAGAAACAAAACAATAAAAATAAGTTTTTATAGACATTATTAATATAATGACTTTTTCTGTTATTCATACAATAGGAACCACAAAAATATGTTTCTGAATATTAGATCTTGAACTGGTCTTTCAGAAGGGATTAGATTCATATAACCAAGTAAGCAGGGGACATGTGCAGCAAGGAAACCACATTAGCAAACACAGGGACTAGATATAACGTGGTTCAGGGAACAGGGAGAAAACCAAACTGTAGGGTCTCCACAGATGATTAATGGGAACTCAGTTCAAAGAGGGCAAGTGTAATGCTTTTAAAATTTAATCAGTGCTCTCACCCAATGATAGTGAAGGTTATGACTTTTTAGAAATCTTTAAGAAAGTAGAGAAGTAGCATGGTCATACCCAACAGAGCTTCTTGGTCATTAATGTGAGCACTGACCCCTTGGAGATCCTGTTAAAATGCAAATTCTGGTTCAGAAGTTTTCAAGTTGTGCCTGAGATTTTACCTCCCTAATAAGTTCCCAGATGACGCCAAGACTGCCAATTCTGGGTAAACCTCGAATAACAACACTGAATAGACAGACTCAGCTGTAGAACCTGGAAATGAAGAAACTAATTTAAAGTCTAATGCTGAAATTCTAATACAAACAACAAAAAAAGTTAGTGACAGTGAGGATGGAGGTAAAGCATAGTTGTCAGAAATGTTAACAAGGATGAAGTGGTAAGTTAGATAATTTGTCAGAATTGGGGAGAATCACTGAAAAAACATGCATCCATTTGCTTTTCTGTTTGTGGGATTGAAAGCATTTTAATTTGAACATAGATTCTGGGGAGCAGCATGGTTTGGAAGAAACAGCTGGTATCTTTTTAGACATTATACTAAATATTATGCCCAGACATCCAGTGGGGTGAAATGTGCCCAGGTCATATAGATTGAGGATACGAAAATGAAGAAACCTGAGGATTTCTGTTTTGAGATAATAATTTAAGCTAGGGGGCTTCTGAAATAATCCAAGAAAAATAAGTCACAAAGAATGAAAGAGAAATTAAAGATAATTCCTCTGTTTAAGAGATAACAAAAGGAAAAAGAACAATTATCAATGCAATTGGCAGGTATAGTTAGAAATAGGGAGGAAGAATTAACAAACAGCACAAAGTAAAGGGGTAGAAGTCATTGAGATGTCAATTAGAATCAGGGAAGCTAGGAGGCTTTTGAACTTGGGAGCCAGAATATTGTCAATTACCTGAAATCTGCAAGGCAGATACCTTGTTTTCGTGAGAATGAAACCGTGGGCCACCATGAAACTTCAGTTTAAAGGAACTCTTCTGAACTACTTTTCACAAAAAATATTTTCATTTACCTGTAGTATCTTCACTACTACACTTAGCTACTGAATATAATAATATTCCTGGGCTGGCATTGTAGCATAGCAGGTTAAGCTGCTGCCTGCAACACCAGCATGCCATATGGGTGCTGGTTTGAGTCCAGGCTGTTCCACTTTTGATCCAGCTCCCTACTAACACTCCTGGAAAAGTTGTGGAAGATGGCCCAAGTCATTTGGCCCCTGCATCCACATGGGATATCCAGATGAAGCTCCTAGATCCTGGTTCCAGTCTGGCCCAGATCCAGCCGTTATGGCCATTTGGGGTGTGAACCGACAGATAAAAGATCTTTCTCTCTCTCTCTCTCTCTCTCTCTCTCTGTGTGTGTGTGTGTGTGTCCTCCCCTCTCTGTAACACTGCCTTTCAAATACATAAAATAAATAAATAAAAATAATAATATTCCTCCACTTGGCCTTTGCTGCATCACCAATACAGAGATATTCTGTCCATTTCCCTATCTGGAGAATAATCTTAATTTCCAACATTTTTAAGGATTTATTTATTATTTGAAAGTCTGAGTTACAGAGAGAGAGAGGGACACACAGAGAGAGAGAGAGAGAGAAAGAGATCCTCCATCTGCTGGTTCACTCTGGGGATGGCCCCAATGGTTGGAGCTGGGTCAGGCTGAGATCAGAAGCCAGGAGCTTCATCTGGGTCTCCCACATGGGTGGCAGGGGCCCAAGCACTTGGGATATCCTCTGCTGCTTTTCCCAGGCAATTAGCAGGGAGCTGGATCAGAAGTGGAATTTTTTTTAACTGCTGCATCGCAGATGTCTTGCCTTCACTCCTCCTCTCTCCTGCTTGGCTGCCTCCATTCTCCTTTGCTTTATTTTCTGTTAACACCAGAAGGTACCTTACTTCAGTCTACCCTGGCTCTCTGTGCCATCCTTTCTCAAAACCTGGTAGTTGCCCTACTCCCATCTCACTGGAGCAGCCGCTTAATACTCCCTGGTTCAGATTTCATTGAGAATGTCTTTGTTCTAGATATACATGCCAAGTTATTCATTGGACTAGAATTGGCTACTCTTAGGTGATTTGATCACATATGATTAAGGCTCAAAAAATATGGCCACAATGGCGGTAATATCTAGACACAGAAACAGCTTTCTGTGTCCTCAGGTGAGAGCCCAGGAGAACTTCCCTTAGTTTAGGTGGCAGTGGAAAGAGGAAGGGTTGGTGCCTTTCTAGGAAAATATTTTCCCCAATTGTACAAGTAAGGGAACTAAGGATCAGAAAAGTTCATGAACTTGGTAAATGTTTTGAGTCCTTAAAGAATTGCCTTTTTTACACCATTACATCATGTCTTGATTTTCACCATCAGCGTTACCTTTGGATGAGTTCTTTTTCCCCTTTGTTTTATTAAAACTGAAATGTATGTTTTGGATGAAAATTTATGTCATATTTTTTCTCCTTAGAATTTATTCACTTCTTTCAAATCATGTATTTTCATAATTCTTTCTATTATGTATTCTGATTGTGTGCTGTTGCAAGCCTATTAAATATTTGGTTGAATTTCTCAGAAGAGGTTGGACTCTTAAATTTTCCTGGCAAAGTCAAGGATGTTTACACTTTTGCATACCATAAAATTTAAAATTTTGAGACTCTATTAATTAAAGAATTATATCCTATTATAAGAAACACAGTGATGTATGTCTGCATGAGCCCTATTTACAGAGAGTACCAAAAAGAAATTGATTGATAAACACAGGGAATAAATCTGCTGATCAACCTGCTTAACAATGAACAGACACACCCAGGAGAATAAAGAGGAGAAGGTCTACTAAAACCAGTAAGTGAAGAACTTGACCAAAACACAAATCAGTAAGATTTAACTTCTGGGGCATGCGCTGTAGCATAGAAGGCTAAACCTCCCCTTTCCGGTGCAGGCATGCCATCTGGGTCCCTGCTGCTCCACTTCTGACCCAGCCCTCTGCTGATGGCCTGGGAAAGCAGTGGAGGATGGCCCAGGTTTTGCTTGGGCCCCTGCACCCACATAAGAGACCTTGAAGAAGCTCCTGGCTCCTGGCTTCAGCTAGGCCCAGCTCTGGCCGTTGCAGCCATTTGGGGAGTGAACCAGTGGATGGAAGAGCCCCACCCACGTAACTCTGCCTTTCAAACAAATAAATAAATATTTCATTAAATAAAAAGAGTTGACTCCTGGGACATAGTCAACTCCAAAGATCATAATCTTGAATTTATCTCTTTTAATATTTGAAGGGAATGAAACAGCTAGTAAAAATAATGTTTGAGAAACCCTACTGTTTTATAATATCATAAACACTTTTAAAGAGTATTTTTTCCTGCTTTTACTTATTTTTGTCTGTTTAGAAAAAATGTTTTTATTCACACAGTAAAATATCAGTTTAGAGCACTTGGGAGAAATAAGTAAAAGAAAAATTCGTCTTAAAGCTATTTGAGGATGTCCTATTACCAGTTTGAGATTGGAAGGAGAGGAGAAAAAGAGCATGGAAAAGTTGACACTCCAGTTACTTTCTAACATTTCCTTGACAGTATCCCTTATTTCTGTGAACTAATTAAACAACGTAGATCTGAATTGTCTACTAGGCTGCCACTTTCCTTGAATTCTAAAATTCAAATGTTCATAAAAAGTACATGTATTTTATAAGCTCTACAATTTGTACAACATAACCTTTTGGAAGTAAACATTGCAGAATATAAAATGAAAACCAACAAAATTTCACTTTAAGGAAGAAAGTATATTTAGGATAAAGGAAGTAATGCTTTCTTTTACAGTGATTTAACATTGTGTTAAGAAATGCTTCCATCAACCAAGACAAAAACAAGTAATGTCAGCTAAGCACTCTTTTATCATCTTCAAAGAGCAATTTCATAAGCCCATTTTTATTTCCTATTTTAAAAGTTAGCTATGTATGGGTTTGAAAGGCAGAGTGACAGAGTGAGAGGGAGAGACAGAGAGATCTTCCTTCCACTATTCATTCCCCAAATTGTTGCAACAGTCAGGGCTGTGCCAGGCCAAAACCAGGAGCCAGGAAGTCCATGCAGATCTCCTAAATGGATGACATGGGCCCAAGAACTTGGGCCATCTTCCACTGCTTTCCCAGGAGCATTAGTGTGGAGCTAGATCAGAAGCAGAGCTGCGGGGACTCAAACCGCTGTTCGAATACGGCATGGCAGCACCTCAAGTGGCAGTTTATCCCACAGCACTACAATGCTGGTGCCCAATTTTGATTTCTAAAAACTCAATACCAGAAAAAAAATAGAAGAGGAAATTTGTTTTTACAAAATAACTCCATCTTTAGAAACATAGTGTGGTTCAATTGCCTATCTATGATTTATCCTACCTATCAGAGGAATCATCACTGTTGAAATGAAGAGATGCTATTGACAATCGATATTGTCTCTTATGAGTTTTAATTTCTGATAAAGACTTTAAATCTCATTGGTGCTCCTTTGTTTAAAATCTCACTTGACAATTGCCCTCATTTACGTCTATCTATGATTTTAAATGTTTTAGATTTGCTCATTGAGGTCAAAGAGAACATAAGTACTATCTGCTCTTCTTTCTTCTCTCCTCTCTGCAGTGTCATCTCAGACATATTTTATCATTTTCAAAGTCTGTAATAAACTTTCGCAATCCATAAACTTCAATAATCAATGTACCAAGTATTTTAAAATAAACATTAAATTGAAAGTATCAGTAACTAAATATAATTTTCCCCAATTTGAATTCAATTATTTAAATTATATTTCAATCATTGACAGAAAAGTTGACATACTAGCTGACAATAAACTGGGTAAAAACAAAACCATGGAAAATTAATGCAGTGCTATCAACAGCTCCTGGCAAATGACATCTCATTTCACGCTCACAAGTTAATCAATAGGTTATTCATCATTCACTGATGCTTTAGACAGAATATCTATCATTTTACTCACAGAAACACTTCAAGATGTTTTTATATTTTACAAGTGCCCTACAAGACAAAACAATTATCTCTGAGTCCTTTCACAAGCCTAGTAAAGTGAGTGTCCCTATTCAGGTATGTAATATAATTGTTGAGTGCCAAGAGATAAAAAGGGACAAGTTTGTCCAGAACAACTTGAAATTTCTGTGGAAGAGAGAAGAGGAACAGTGGAAATTAAGGTAGCAGTGATGAGAGAAAATGATAATCAAATATAAATACATGCTAGCTCCATAAGAAATAGGAAAGCAAAGGGAATAGAATTTGGATCATGTTTAAAAAAGAAGCGGAAAGAAAAAAATAGGTGACAGACGATGTTTATTAAAGAAGGAAGTCACAGGACAGTTTGAAAGCTTTATTTTTATTTATTTTTTTTATTTTTTGACAGGCAGAGTGGACAGTGAGAGAGAGAGACAGAGAGAAAGGTCTTCCTTTTTGCCGTTGGTTCACCCTCCAATGGCTGCCCCGGCCGGCACACTGCAGCCGGTGCACCACGCTGATCCGATGGCAGGAGCCAGGTACTTATCCTGGTCTCCCATGGGGTGCAGGGCACTCATTCATTCATTTCTCTATTCATTGAATATATATTGATGTCTATCATGGGTCAGTAATTCTTCTAGGCACTAGAATTAAAGAAATAATGAAAATCTTTGTTCTTATCGAGCCATCAAGCTTAAATTTTAATTCAGGGAGGAACAATAAATACATAGGTGATATGTTGTTTCTAAGAAGAAACAAATAAGAAGAGAGAGAGATGGGGCTGGCATGTGGTGCCGCAGGTTAACCCGCCATCTGCAGTGCTTGCATCTGAAATGGAGCCGGTTCCTGGCTGCTCCACCTTTGACCCAGCTCCTTGATGATGTGCCTGGGAGAGCAGTAGAGGATGTCACAAGTGTTTGGGCCTCAGTACCCACGAGGGAGATCCAGATGAAACTTCTGGCTCCTGGCTTCAGCCTG